CTGCCAAAACTTTCATTAACTGCCGAAAACCCAATGCCAGACAACACACTGCAGAAAAACATGCCCACTTTCTCATAAAAAACCCTGCCGACAACACACTGCCAAAAACCCCTTCATCCTTTTTAAAAATTTGCCAGCAACACATGCCAACAACACATGCCCACTTTTCATTACACTGCCAGACAACACATGCCAAAACCCTCCAAAACCCCTGCCAGACAACCCAACTGCCAGACAACAACTGCCAGACAACACACTGCCCACTCTTCATTACATGCCCAAAAAGGACAACACACTGCGGCAAACACTGCCAGACAACCAAACCAAAACCTCCCAAAAAAACCACCCCCCTTCATTACACTGCCAGACAACACACGCCCACTCTTCATTACATGCCAGACAACACACTCCCAAAAACATTTCCCAAAATTGCCGGGACAACCCCCAAAAAAACACACTGCAACCCAAAACCCCAGACAACCCCACTCCCACACTTTCATTACACCCCAGACAACACACTCCCTCATCTTCATTACCGCCAACAAAAAACGCCAGACAACACATGCCAGCAAACACTGCCACACTCTTTTTCACCCCAGAAAACACACTGCCACCCAACACTGCCAACCACCTGAGAAAAACCACTGCCAGAAAAACCACTGCCACACTCTTCATTACACTGCCAGACAAACCGCCCCACCTTATTACACCCCAGACAACACCTGTCAACCACACTGCCAGAAAACCCAACTGCCCCCACCCTTCATTACATGCCAGAAACAACTCCCAAACTTTTCATTCCCTGCCAGACAAACACTCCCCAAAAACCCTCCAACAAACACTCCCAAACACCCAACACTCCCAGACAAACATTTAAACCCCAAAACCCTCCCAGAAAACACACTCCCACTCTTTCATTACACTGCCAGACAAACACACGCCCATCTTCTTTAACTGCCAGACAACACACTGCCCATTTTTATTACTCCAGACCACACTGCTTCACTCTTCATTACATCCCAGAAAACACATCCAAACCCAACACTGCCAGAAACCCCTGCTACCCAAACATGCCAGAAAACCCCGCCAGACAAAACACTGCCAGCAACACCTCCCAACCCCCAAAAACTCCCAGACAACACACTCCCAGACAACACACTCCCTCACTCTTCTTTACACTCCCAACAACACTCCCAGACAACACACGCCAACCCACACTGAGAAACACACGCCCCCTCTTCATTACCTCCCAGACAAAAAACCCCACTCTTAACCCCCAAAACAACCACGCCTACTTTTTCATTACACCCCAGACAAAAAAACTCCCAAAACAAACACTGCCAACAACACACGCCCACTTTTCTTTACACTCCCAGCAACACACTGCCAGACAACCCCAGCCCACTCTTCATTACACTGCCAGAAAAACACATGCCACCCTCCCTGCCAAAAAACCATGCCTCACTCTTCATTACACTCCGAAAAACCATCCCCACCCAAAAACTCCCAGACAACACATGCCTCATCTTTTCACTGCCAAAAAACACACTGCCAGACAACACACTGCCAACAACACATGCAGAAAACAACTGCAGCCCAAAAAATCCCAGACAAACATGCCAGACAACACACTCCCCAACAACAACTGCCAGACAACACACTGCAGAAAACACACTGCCCCTTTCATTACACTCCCAACAACCCCTGCAGAAAAACACACTGCCAACACACACGCAGAAACACACTGCCTCATCTTCATTACACTGCCAAAAACACCGGGCCCCCCTTCTTCATTAACGCCAACAAACCTGCCCCCCAAACACTCCCAGACAACACACTGCTCATCTTCATTACACTGCCAAAAACCCACCCGCCCCCTCCCACTCTTCAACTGCCAGACAACACCCCCTTTGCCGCCCCCTTATCCTTCCTGCCAGGGAAAAAACCCCTGCCAGACAACACACTCCCTCACTCTTCATTACACTCCCAGACAACACACCCCAGCAAACACGCCCACCCCCCCAAAAACATGCCAGACAAACACCCCAGAAACACACTCCCAAAACCCCTTCATTTACATGCCAGACAACACACTGCCGGACAAAAAACCTCCCCAAAAACCCAACACTGCCAGAAAACACACTGCCCCGACACAACTGCCCACACCTCCTCATTTTCCATTACATCCCAGACAAACACTGCCCATTTCATTAACTCCCAGACAACACACCCCCCTCTTTCTTTACACTGCCAGACAAACACGCCTCACTCTTCATCATGCCAGCAACACCCTGCCTCCTCCTTCATTACACGCCAGACAACCCCCTGCCTCACTTTTCATTACACGCCAGAAAAAACCCCCACCCCCTCCCTCACTCTTCATTACACTGAAAAAAGAACACACACTGCTCACTCCTACACTCCCAACAACACACTCCCGACAAACACTCCCCAATTTCACACTCCAGAAAACACACTGCCAGACAACACCTGCCCAACAACACACTGCCAGGAAAACACACTCCCAAAACCCCCCACACTGCCCAAACACTGCCAGAAAAACATCCCAAACCCCCAACACTGCCAGACAACACACTGCCAAAAACACTGCCAGGCCCCCCCAAACATTGCCAGCAACACCTGCCTCCTCTTCATTCACTCCCAAAAAACCCTCCCACTTTTCAAAAAAACCCCCCAGACAACACACCCCAAACTCAAGAACAAGAAAATAAACAAAAAAAAAAAAAAAAAAAAAAAAAAAAAACCCCCAACAAAAAAAAAAAAAAAAAAAAAAAAAAAAAAAAAATAAAAAAAAAAAAAAACAAAAAAAAAAAAAAAAAAAAAAAATAAAAAAAAAAAACTCACTGCCAACAACACATGCCTCATTTTCTTACACTCCAGCCCAAACCTGCCAGACAAGCATGCTAGACAACACATCCCAACAACACACTGCCAGACAAAACCCTCCAGAAACACATGCCAGAAAAACACACTGCCTCACTCTTCATTCACTGCCAGAAAAACCAAACTCCCAGCAACAACTGCCTCATCTTCTTACACTGCAAGACCACACTCCCAACCTTTTTCTTTAAACACTGCCAGACACACTGCCAACAACAACTGCCAGACAAACACTCCCGACAAAACACTGCCAAAAACACACTGCCAGCAACGCACTGCCAGACAACACACTCCCAGAAAAAACCTACCAACAACACACTACCAACAACCACTCCCAGACAACCCACTACCAAAAACACACTCCCAGACAACAATCCCCAGACAAAACCTACCAGACAACACACTGCCAGACAAAACCTACCAGACAACACACTACCAGACAAACACTGAGACAAACACACCAGACAAACATCCCAGACAACACCCCCCCGAAAACACATGCCAGACAACACATACCGACAACACACTACCAGACAACAATCCAGACAACACACGCCAGACAACACACTGCCAGAAACACACTACCAGACAACACACACCAACAAACCTCCCAGACAACCCCTACCAGACAACACACTACCAGACAAACACTCCCAGACAACACACTGCCGAAACAACTCCCAGAAAAACCTGCCAACAACACCTACCAGAAAACACACTACAACAAAAAACACCAGACAACACACTGCCAACAACACCTGCCAGACAACACACTACCAACAACACACTGCCAGAAAACACACTCCCAGACAACACACTCCCAGACAACACACTCCCAGACAAAAACACTACCGACAACCACTCCCAGACAACACAGCCGACAACACCGCCAGAAACCAGCCAGACAAACCCCTCCCAGAACAACACCTACCAGACAACACACTACCAGAAAAAACACACTACCAGACAACCACTCCCAGACAACACCTGCCAGACAACACACTCCCAGACAACACAGGGGAAACAACACACTGCCAGACAACACACCCCAGACAACACACTCCAGACAACCACGCCAGCAACACACTCCAGACAAACACTAAAGACAACACACTGCCAGACAACACACCCCAGAAACACACTCCCAGAAAAACACACTACCAGAAAAACCACTGCCGCCACACACCAGTCAACCACTCCCAGACAACACACTGCAGACAAACAATGCCAGAAAAACACCCCGCCAGACAACACACTCCCAGACAACACCTCCCAAACAAACACACTGCCTCACTCCTCATTACACTGGAGACACCTGCCAGACTGCCAGACAACACACTTCCAGAAAACACACTGCCAGACAACCCTCCCCGACAACACCTACCAGACAAACACTGCCAGACAACACACTCCCAGACAACACACTGCCAGACAACACCTCCCAGACAACACATTTTGCCAGACAACACACCCCCCAGACAACACATGCCAGACAACACACGCCAGACACACACTCCCTCACTCTTCATTACACTGCAGACACTCTGCCAGAAAACACATTCCAAAAAAACCCCTGCAGAAACTCACTGCCAACAACACACTCCCGACAACACACTACCAACAAACACTACCAGACAACCCCAACCAACAACACACTCCCCAACAACACACTGCCAGAAACACATGCCAACAAACAAAACCAGACAACAACTACCAGACCACACTCCAACAACACACACCAGACAAACACTGCCAACAAACACTCCCAGAAAAACCACTGGCCAACACACTACCAGACAACACACTGCCAGACAACCAGCCAGACAACACACTGCCAGACAACACACTCCCCAACAAAAACCACTCCCAGACAAACACCTGCCAGACAACACACTCCCAGAAAACACACCCCAGAAAACACACTCCCACTTCCATTACTTACGACAGTGTAATGTAATGTTATTCATCACTTTTGAAGAATTAAAATAAAATTAATTAGTAAATCTTCTTGCATATAGATAAAATAACATTGTATTACTTGCAAGAAAAAAATTGGAAGTCAGCGTAAGTTGTGAGCCATGAATGAGGAGTAATGTTGAATGTTGAAGAACAAGACTTGCAGGTGTGTGGACGTCTTATATTTATGTGATAAACAATCATCTATAAATTCTTCATATGACCTATATGAAAAAGGAGACAATATATGATTAGTTGGTAGGGCTGAGTTCTGATTATAACTTGGACGACAGTATTGTTTCAGATCGCAGACGTTTAGTAAAAAAATTTATGATCTTGTATTCCAAGCAGGAGAGGTCGAAGATGCCTTCCTCCAGGGTGTTTACGTTCACTGTTTTGACATTCTTGAACCCAAGACGGAGACATATCCTCATACTGTTAGGGTTGTTGGTATATCCACAGGCCAATGTGTATCCCTGCTTGGTGCTAAGATCCAGACTTAGCTGAAGGAGGTGTATGAACACGAAATGAACACAGTGACATGGAAAATAATAACTGTACTAATATCAGGCATAATGGAAGAATTTCGATTTTCTTGTCAACATTCATATCCAAGAAATATATTGTTTGGCTTTTAACATCGGCATTTATTATCTACCAGGTAATACCACCACATACGACTAAACACAAACCTTCATTATCTTTGTAATAACACCTTGATGACCATAGTCAGGATGGACACAAATGCGAGAACCCAAAACGATGCGGTCCTTCCTTATGTCCACAACTTCGTCCATAAGTTTCAGTATTATATTCCACGCTCTAAGAATTCCAACCTGAGAAATAAACAACTCACAATTACTGCAAAAAGAAACTAAGCTCACGTAACCGGTCAATTAACAGACGGTATAAGTTTTCTTTGCAATTAGAACAAACATTTTTTCACGTTATGATACTCAAAATTACTGTAAAATTCTCAGCTGCTTTGTATACCACTCTCACACTATATTATATAACAGTTGACAATTATTACTTAATTTATATATATTTTTTAAACCCATAAAGTCGGAGGCCATAATGTTGTATCTTAGCTGCATCCAGGATGCAACCCACTACAGTTAGTTAACATCCAGGATGCAACCCACTACAGTTAGTTAACATCCAGGATGCAACCCACTACAGTTAGTTAACATCCAGGATGCAACCCACTACAGTTAGTTAACATCCAGGATGCAACCCACTACAGTTAGTTAACATCCAGGATGCAACCCACTACAGTTAGTTAACATCCAGGATGCAACCCACTACAGTTAGTTAACATCCAGGATGCAACCCACTACAGTTAGTTAACATCCAGGATGCAACCCACTACAGTTAGTTAACATCCAGGATGCAACCCACTACAGTTACTTAACATCCAGGATGCAACCCACTACAGTTAGTTAACATCCAGGATGCAACCCACCACAGTTAGTTAACATCCAGGATGCAGCCCACTACAGTTAGTTAACATCCAGCATGCAGCCCACTACAGTTAGTTAACATCCAGGATGCAACCCACTGCAGTTAGTTAACATCCAGGATGCAACCCACTACAGTTATTTTAACATCCAGGATGCAACCCACTACAGTTACTTAACATCCAGGATGCAACCCACTACAGTTAGTTAACATCCAGGATGCAACCCACTACAGTTAGTTAACATCCAGGATGCAACCCACTACAGTTAGTTAACATCCAGGATGCAACCCACTACAGTACTTAACATCCAGGATGCAACCCACTAACAGTTAGTTAACATCCAGGATGCAACCCACAACAGTTAGTTAACATCCAGGATGCAGCCCACTACAGTTAGTTAACATCCAGGATGCAACCCACTACAGTTATTAACATCCAGGATGCAACCCACTACAGTTAGTTAACATCCAGGATGCAACCCACTACAGTTACTTAACATCCAGGATGCAACCCACTACAGTTAGTTAACATCCAGGATGCAAGCCACTTCAGTTAGTTAGCATCGAGGATGCAACCCACTACAGTTAGTTAACATCCAGGATGCAACCCACTACAGTTACTTAACATCCAGGATGCAACCACTACATTTTAGTTAACATCCAGATGCAACCCACTACAGTTAGTTAACATCCAGGATGCAACCCACTACAGTTAGTTAACATCCTGGATGCAACCCACTACAGTTAGTTAACATCCAAGATGCAACCCACTACAGTTAGTTAACATCCAGGATGCAACCCACTACAGTTAGTTAACAACCAGATGCAACCCACTACAGTTAGTTAACATCCAGGATGCAACCCACTACAGTTAGTTAACATCCAGGATGCAACCCACTACAGTTAGTTAACATCCAGGATGCAACCCACTACAGTTAGCTAACATCCAGGATGCAACCCACTACAGTTAGTTAACATCCAGGATACAACCCACTACAGTTAGTTAACATCCAGGATGCAACCCACTACATTTAGTTAACATCCAGGATGCAACCCACTACAGTTAGTCAACATCCAGGTTGCAACCCACTACAGTTAGTTAACATCCAGGATGCAACCCACTACAGTTAGTTAACATCCAGGATGCAGCCCACTACAGTTAGTTAACATCCAGGATGCAACCCACTTCAGTTAGTTAACATCCAGGATGCAACCCACTACAGTTAGTTAACATCCAGGATGCAACCCTCTACAGTTAGCTAACATCCAGGATGCAACCCACTACAGTTAGTTAACATCCAGGATGCAACCCACTACAGTTAGTTAACATCCAGGATGCAACCCACTACAGTTAGTTAACATCCAGGATGCAACCCACTACAGTTAGTTAACATCCAGGATGCAACCCACTACAGTTAGTTAACATCCAGGATGCAACCCACTACAGTTTAGTTAACATCCAGGATGCAACCCACTACAGTTAGTTAACATCCAGATGCAACCCACTACAGTTAGTTAACATCCAGGATGCAACCCACTACAGTTAGTTAACATCCAGGATGCAACCCACTACAGTTAGTTAACATCCAAGATGCAACCCACTACAGTTAGTTTAACATCCAGGATGCAAACCCACTACAGTTAGTTAACATCCAGGATGCAACCCACTACAGTTAGTTAACATCCAGGATGCAACCCACTACAGTTAGTTAACATCCAGGATGCAACCCACTACAGTTAACATCCAGGATGCAACCCACTACAGTTAGTTAACATCCAGGATGCAACCCACTACAGTTAGTTAACATCCAGGATGCAACCCACTACAGTTAGTTAACATCCAGATGCAACCCACTACAGTTAGTTAACATCCAGGATGCAACCCACTACAGTTAGTTAACATCCAGGATGCAACCCACTACAGTTAGTTAACATCCAGGATGCAACCCACTACAGTTAGTTAACATCCAGGATGCAACCCACTACAGTTAGTTAACATCCAGGATGCAACCCACTACAGTTAGTTAACATCCAGGATGCAACCCACTACAGTTAGTTAACATCCAGGATGCAACCCACTACAGTTACTTAACATCCAGGATGCAACCCACTACAGTTAGTTAACATCCAGGATGCAACACACTACAGTTAGTTTGTCATGTGGGAGTTCGAACACGTGGATTAGGTAAAGTAATACTCACGTAGGCTGGTAGTACGTATAATTACAGATAATGTGGGTAGCGCCCTTACAGCCGTAACCTTGTCTCTCTGCTCTCTCATGTACAACTGCCCGACTGGCCGCCCACAGTACCCATATGTGAGGGGGTCTTTGAATAGTGCCAGGTCAGCACAATATGAATAGACAGCGACTCAGGCAGAGACTGTTGCTAACGAGTCAACTTTACACTGGTTACTGGTAACTGGTTACTACTACTGAGAGCTCGGCGACGCTAACGTATGTCGTCCCGACATACAACTAATACAAACTAGAGATGGCAGGTGTACGGCTTGGGCTGATTCTATACAACGTCAAAGTACACAACAATTAAACATTATAACGTACATAAGTAGAACATTGGAATGGAAGCTTACGTAACTGAAACTGTAATGCAATACAAGGTATAATATAGCACAACTTAAAACTCAACGTTGAGATTACACAATAGAAGTGATTAAAAAAAAATTTGATCGATCGATCTGTATTCATGTGATCTACGGATTCTGAGGGAGGAATATATACAAAGAAAGAGTGTTTAACAGAAAGGCAGATTCGGTGCACTCAAATCTAGACTGTTAACCCTCAGAATGCGGAGAGAACATGAACACAAAAAAAAATTCTTGAATACTGATAAGTTGATACTGTAATTATTCATCTATACAGGTTATTTACATTTAACCCCAACTCTGCTAGGGTGAGATTGACATATGCAGAATGGGTGTCATCTCTGGAGGATCAAACTCTGTAGCATTGGCTAACTCATGCTGTATTTGAGGCAAATCTGAATTGGATGTTACAAATGATATTTGAGGATTTCTCAATACCTGTCGTGTACGTAGGGAATAACGACATTCAGGTTGATCGTCTGACTGAGTATCAGAGGAAGAGAGTACAGGATCAGGAGGATTGTCAGAGTCTGTCACATTAGTCTGGGTTGGAACATCTTATCATCACATACTAACTTCATATGATCTAAATGCGATTCTTTATACTGACCAGTACTAATCTCTCTAACCTTATACTTATTACCAGTGATATGTTCAACTACTCGATAAGGACCAACAAACTTTTGATCAAGCTTTGGCATTGCAGACGTTTTGTTAAAGTTAATCAGCATAACTCTCGAACCTACTTTGATTTTGGATGGCTTTGCTCGAGTGTTTGCGACTCTTGTAAATTCAGCTGTTGATTTATGAAGTGTTTCACGGATTCTTCTAAAAACACTTTGAGCTAAGCTGGTACGAGTTGCTATGAAATCATCAGGGTTGTTAATTTGGTTTCGGATTAGAATATAACAACTCATAAGGCAAACGTTTATCTACACCATACAATGCATAATGTGGAGTGTCACCTATAGAAACATTGTAAGCAGAATTTATAGCACACTGCACATCAGGTATAACTTCATCCCAAGTTTCACTGTTGGGATTGATAGTGGCTCTCAAGACATCAAGTACTTTCTTATTGGTTCGTTCCGCTAACCCATTGCTGGCAGGATGATGAGGAACAATGGTGGATTTAGAGATCTGTACAAGGTGCACAAATTTTCAAGAATTTCATTACAGAATTCACCTCCATTATCTGTTACTAGGGACTTAGGAGTGGTATGCCTGCAGATAATGCGTTCTTTAAACGCTTTAGCTACTGTCTCGGCAGTCTTATCTGCAATAGGAACTAACTCACAATATCTGGTGAAATGGTCTACCATAACACACAGATGTTTGTTACCTTGGAGGGAACATTGGAAATTAGTTAACAAATCTAGCGCAACTCTTTCCCACGGTTCGCTAGTAGTTGGATATACTTGGATTGGATTAGGACCATTAGCATTACCTTTATGTTGCATGCAGACACTACATTTCTTAACATACTCAGAAATATCAGTTGCCATACGAGGCCAAAAGTATTTCAATCTGGCTTGTTTTACTGAACGATCCATACCAGGGTGTGCAACACCTGGTACATCGTGAACTAGCTGTAAGGCTACATTCACTAGTGACTGTGGAATTACTAACTGGTATACTCTTCTGCTAGGAGTACCCAACTCGGCTGTTCGATACAGTAATTCTTGGTTCATGACAAAGTCACTGATGGGTGCTGGTGGCTTCACAGTCAGAATAAGATCTTCCTGGAGCAGGAATCGAATCACACCAGACC